ATTTATATGGCATGTTAAAGCAATGCTTCATCTGTTGGTTGAAGTTTGACATCAGAATGTCACCAGAGGTCACTCTTTCCTCTTTTATTCCAACCTCTGCAGTATACAGTAATGACTGGCAGCATTTTCATTTTATTTTATTATTATTTTTTTTTACTCGTAATAATAAAACAACTTCTTGATGAAGAAATACCATTTTTTATTTCTAAAAACATTTGAAGTTGTATCACCAATTGTTCTAAATCAAAAAGTTGTAAATCTAAAGAACAATTTAGGCATGCTCTTTTGCACAAATATGGGAATTGCTAAGGAGGAAAAAATAATCCATTTTAGATATTTTTTCTCTGATATCTTTACCATTAGTAAGCAACAGTAAGTTGACCCAACAGCTGTTCAAAGCACAAGCCTGGACCGACCATCTGTTTCTCATTTTACTGTATAAGCATCATATGTTGTAATGGCTCAGAGCTGCTGCTGTTATTTGGGCTTTGTGAATTAAGTATGACTTTACTGATACCTTATATGCATAGTTGAAACATCTAATTATCATGCAGTGTTGAGGTGTGCAAACCCAGACCTGCCAACAAACATCTGCTCACCCATGCCTCATGTTTTACCCAATTATTTGCCAGTAAAGATGCAAAATCACACACAAAAAAGCAGGTTGTTAAGCTCATATCTGTGCAAATAAAAATTTTAATAGAAATCATTGAAATTACTTTATATCAAATCATTGTTAATGCAAACATACACTTCAGTTTGGAGACATCTTATTTCTGTAATTTGTCCTCTGTGAGTTGCTTTGCTACATTCTGAATAATTGTATTCCATCAGCCTTACTGCAGCTTAAGGGCATGCACTGAATATTCATCAAATAGTGTGTGTCATCTCTCCAGGGTTGGTTTATGTTTTATATCATCTGAATGCAGGCAGGATTCTTCTTGTAACCTTGTTCGTTAAGCATTGATTCACACATTATCCAAGACTGTTAGGATAGCACTCTGTCAATTTCCTTCTGCATATCAATTGCTTCTGGAAGAACTGGTTTGGGCAGCAGGAAAACTTGAGAACATCTTCAATAAAAAAAATAAATAAAAAAAAGTTGGATGTAAAAGCAGACATCAACCATTCTGAGCCACCCCCTTTCTCTCAGAATGAGTGTGAATAGCTTTCAGACACTTGAGGTATGGTTTCCTGCACTCGAAAATGAAATGGTACACTTCTTGTTATTTATTTATTTTTGACAATGCACATCACTTCAATGTTTTGCTCCATTTTAAGAGCAAGAAATCTAGACTTTCATCCATTCATCTTTACCTGTTTCTTCCTTTTTGGGTCACGAGGGTCACTGGTGCCTATATCCAGCCACCACTGTGCAAGAGATGGGGACACCCGGGACAGGTCTCCAGTCCATCACAGGGACACATAGACAAACAAGACAAATAACCATTCACTCTCTCACTCACACCTAGGGACAATTTAGAGTTACCAATCAGCCTAACATGCATGTTTTTGGTGTGTGGGAGGAAACCAGAGTACCCGGAGAAAACCCACGCATGCACAGAGAAAACATGCAAACTCCACCCAGAAAGACCCCCAGCCAGGATTCAATCCTTCCCGCTGACAGACAGCAGCTCTATCTACTGAGCCACCGTGCTACCCTGTAGACTTTCAAAAGTCAAAAAATTGACTTTGCTATTACAAAAATATTTTGTTAAGCAAATAAAGTTAATAAGAAAAAGGTAATTTTATTCTTGTTGAGGGAAAATAAATTGGAGCTCTGTATAATAACAAAAATATTTTTTTTCCTTTCTGCACATTTTTATTGAGTGTAGTACCTTTATTGAATTTTAGCAGATGCCCAGATAAAAAAAAACCTTTCTGTTGGTTGACACAAACCAAACAGCAGCAGGTCAGGGACACTGTTGTGCTCATGAAGTACACACTTTTCAATTCATACGTGCAATAAAAGTGCATCAAGCACAACTCATTTTGTTTTCACTTTTTTAGGTTGTGCAAACTTAGCTGGTGCCAATAAAGTACATCATACAAATGTTCAAATAATAAATAAACAGGAACTTTGCACATATTAAAAGCAAAACATGCAACATTTCAAGCTTACCTGCAGCTGGTTCATCCTGTGGAGGTTTTGAACTCATGGTAGCTTTTATTGGTTGATCCTGTCAGTTTAGATTAGAAATTGATTTGAGTCCAAATAATGGGTAAGAAATCATAATTTTGCAGCTGCAGCCATGTCAAGGAACAACCAGTTTTTATGTTGTCTATAGATACAGTATGTTCATGTACTTATCGTTTTAACATTTCCTCATTCATCTTTAAAAATGCAAAATCTTTTGACAACTCTGAGATTCTCTGTTACCTTGTTAAGACTTTACTAGAACTTAACTTGAGCTTAACAGAATTTCTTTGTCAGAACTTGAATCCAGCCACCTCAATAAACATGCCTTTAATAATAAATTCATTGTCAATAAGTGCGGACACTTTACTGTAAATCTAAATTTAACATTGTACATTACAACTTATTTATCTGTCAGTTGTGCTTTAACTCAAGACTAAAGGTTATAATCATATGCCACTTTGATTGTTGATACATTCTGCTGATTATCCATGCTGCTGATCTCATGTTGCTGATTATTTCATACTGCTGTATTCATTTGTACACATCTACTCACACAGATTCATGTCCGTACTGCTGTTGTTCGGTATATTGTTTTGCACTTTTAGTGTTTAGCATATTTCTTAATTTATACCTTAGATCCTTATTACTGTTTCTTTTAACAATTTATATTTTTGTTATAGTTGGATGTAACTGGGACCCTGTGTACACAATTTTGTTCCACCTTATGTACCACATGTGATGCAAAGGATAATAAAACCAAATTGAACTTGAAATTATATACTGTATGTACAGTACATATATATATATATATATATATATATATATATATATATATATATATATACAGTGCCTTGCGAAAGTATTCGGCCCCCTTGAACTTTTCAATCTTTTGCCACATTTCAGGCTCCAAACATAAAGATAAAAAATTTAATTTTTTCGTGAAGAATCAACAAGTGGGACACAATCGAGAAGTGGAATGACATTTATTGGATGTGTCAAACTTTTTAAACAAATAAAAAACTGAAAAGTGGGGCGTGCAATATTATTCGGCCCCTTTATTTCAGTGCAGCAAACTCACTCCAGAAGTTCAGTGAGGATCTATGAATGATCCAATGTTGTCCCAAATGATTGATGATGATAAATATAATCCATCTGTGTGTAATCAAGTCTCCGTATAAATGCACCTGCTCTGTGATAGTCTCAGGGTTCTGTTCAAAGCGCAGAGAGCATCACGAAGACCAAGGAACACAGCAGGCAGGTCCGAGATACTGTTGTGGAGAAGTTTAAAGCTGGATTTGGATACAAAAAGATTTCCCAAGCTTTAAACATCCCAAGCAGCACTGTGCAAACAATCATATTGAAATGGAAGGAGTATCAGACCACTGCAAATCTACCAAGACCCGGCCGTCCCTCTAAACTTTCATCTGGAACAAGGAGAAGACTGATCAGAGATGCAGCCAAGAGGCCCATGATCACTCTGGATGAACTGCAGAGATCTACAGCTGAGGTGGGAGAGTCTGTCCATAGGACAACAATCAGTCTGCACAAATCTGGCCTTTATGGAAGAGTGGCAAGAAGAAAGCCATTTCTCAAAGATATCTATAAAAAGTTTTGTTTAAAGTTTGTCACAAGCACCTGGGAGACACACCAAACATGTGGAAGAAGGTGCTCTGGTCATATGAAACCAAAATCGAACTGTTTGGCCACAATGCAAAACGACATGTTTGGCGTAAAAGCAACACAGCTCATCACCCTGAACACATCATCCCCGCTGTCAAACATGGTGGTGGCAGCATCATGGTTTGGGCCTGCTTTTCGTCAGCAAGGACAGGGAAGATGGTCAGAATTGATGGGAAGATGGATGGGGCCAAATACAGGACCATTCTGGAAGAAAACCAGTTTGAGTCTGCAAGAGACCTGAGACTGGGATGGAGATTTATCTTCCAACAAGACAATGCTCCAAAACATAAAGCCAAATCTACAATGGAATGGTTCACAAATAAACGTATCCAGGTGTTGGAATGGCCAAGTCAAAGTCCAGACCTGAATCCAATCGAGAATCTGTGGAAAGAGCTGAAGACTGCTGTTCACAAATGCTCTCCATCCAACCTCACTGAGCTCGAGCTGTTTTGCAAGAAAGAATGGGCAAGAATTTCAGTCTCTCCATGTGCAAAACTGATGGAGACATACCCCAAGAGACTTGCAGCTGTAACTGCAGCAAAAGGAGGCGCTACAAAGTATTAACGCAAGGGGGCCGAATAATATTGCACGCCCCACTTTTCAGTTTTTTATTTGTTAAAAAAGTTTGACGGCAGCACGGTGGCCAAACTGGTAGAGCTGCTGTCTTTCAGCGAGCAGGTCCCTGGTTCAAATCCCAGTCCAGGGGCCTTTCTGGGTGGAGTTTGCATATTTGCATGTCCGGGTACTCCGGTTTCCTCCCACAGACCAAAAACATGCATATGAGGCTGATTGGTAACTCTAAATTGTCCCTAGGTGGGAGTGAGAGAGTGAATGGTTGTTTGTCTCTATGTGGACCTGTGATGGACTTGCGACCCGTCCAGGGTGTACCCCGCCCCTCGCACGGTGATTGCCGGACATGGGCATTGGCAACCCCCTTGACCCAAAATGGAAGAAGCAGGTAAAAGATAATGGATGAAAAAGTTTGACACAGCCAATAAATTTCATTCCACTTCACGATTGTGTCCCACTTGTTGTTGATTCTTCACAAAAGATTTGAATTTTATATCTTTATGTTTGAAGCCTGAAATGTGGCAAAAGGTTGAAAAGTTCAAGGGGGCCGAAT